GGAAAAGACATAATGATGTCAGAGAAGAAATGAAATAGATGAAGTTGACATCATATAGATATTAACTATGACGAAATAGAAATGAAGTTCTAGACTTGTTAATTATCTCAATACTTTATGGTTGGACTGGCAATCATTGAGATAAGTTCCATTTTGAATTTTTTGAACTCACACCATATATTTCATGTTGTTATTTTCCTTTGGAGGTTTTATTGAGGACAGGATCAAAATATTCCAATACTGAAATCAGAATTAAGGCTCACTGTAGTCAATTTAGTGGTGTTTGAATACATGACAGACACAGCCAACAAAGATGCCTCGGATTGAAAAATCCGAGGTATCATCGGACTCAAATCCTCGGACAAAATCTTTCCGAGGTTTTGATCCGAGGTATTATTTTGCGTCAAAAAATACCTCGGATCAAATCCTCGGACAAGACCTGTCCGAGGGTTTCCATCCGATGATGCCTCGGATTTTTCAATCCGAGGCATCTATGTTGGCGGTGAGAGAACAATAGAACCTTGAAATAAAACGATGGAGTAGAACAAGCTTCCAGGGAATGTCGGTGAATTTTGGATGATGTTGAGCTGCAATTTGCATTAACTGCATTGATAAAGCAATTTGCGTGAGGCACCTATGTTCATACATAGCAGCAACATTGGATGCTTCAGGAAAGTCGGCTAGATGTGGATTGATTTGCAAAGGTGAAGTCGGATGAGGTGAAAAGAGGCAATATCAAGCAGATGTTGGGAATTTGAGTGTCATACACAAAGAACAGAATACCCTGGTATACCATTACGGAACGCTTGAATACACCGGATATGTAGAGCAGATAAATGATAGTATAGGTAATTTGGACATTGCGACTGTAGTGAGCAATAGCATATGATGTAGGAAGCAATTAGTTTGATATGAAGGAGTGGTAATGGAGGGATTTGAAAGGGAAACCCCGGGTGAAAGGGTGAGGGAATGATAGAACATACAATTGAAGCAAATCTGGAGTGTGAAGCCCAGTACGTGTGAAGTAGAAGGAGGAAGCGTGATAGCACTAAAAGTTAAGCGAGGTGAGAATTTGATGATCTGTGGCAAACAATGATCAGTCATATGAATGTGAAATAATGATCGATTATTTGACACTTAGAACAGACTTTGTGGATAAGGGTTGCTGGCAAATAAATTATACATGAAAGGAGGGACCAAGGAACTACTGTAATAGGATGTGGTGGTAATGGAAAATTGAAGTATTTGCAGTAGTGTGAAGTACGGATAAACAAATTCATAGTTGACCTTTAACTTGTAATGATACTGAATTGTACTCTTCTTTCTTCTTTTCTTCTTTCTCATTGACTTCGCTTCTGGACCCTGAATTTGGTATTCATCCTCTCTCACCAACAACATGTAATTCATTTTCAATTTTGACTTTTAATTTAGATCTTGTATAAGTAAGTGCTTTTCTCTTTCTCTCTGACCTATGTTTTGCATCCTAAGTATACACCCTAGTTTTGATCCTTCTATTTAGCTTATCATGTTGATCCCATCTTGTAATATTGGTATCACATTATTGTTTCCTTCTAATCTTAAATCTCAATTTTGGACCTTAATCTCAATCTTGAATAATACTGACACCTTCCTCTTGTTTGAAATCTAGATATTCTTTACTTTATGGAATATTAAAGGACTATCTTCAAGTTATTTCTTCTTTTTGTGTATTTTGTTTTGCTTGCTTATATGTAGACTATCTTTTATGAAGAAATGAGTGATAAAATAATGAAAGTACCAGATTTGAATCTAATAACTATAATCAAAAATAAGATAGGCCCAATCAGTTTGAGATGAGAAATGAAACTTGAGTCTTGAATTTGAATAATTCTGTAGCTCATGATTATAAACTTGATATAATGAATTGATCTTGTAACAAAACAACATAGATGAGTGACCAATTGAAGCAAAATATAAAATTGATTTAAATTTAAATCCTTGATCAAATAAATATCAAGAAGTAATGTTAAGAAGAAGATCGTTGATTTTGATTTCCACATCCTCCCCCAACTTCTAAGCTGTCCTCAGCGCTGCCACTAATTCTTGAGAATATGTATGCAAATTTGGGAAAACTATGTAAGCCTTGAAAAAATCATTGATGACCACCTCCCCCAACTTCAATGAAAAACTGCCGCATTTGTGATTGGTGTTATTATCCAGATGCCAACGTATGACCTCCTCCTTTTGATCCAGTGAATGAAGTGTACGCTTCCTGATACAGTTCTTTCCTTTGTTTTTTAACGAGAGACTAGACTTTGTTTTTTTGCGCAGCGGCGAGAGGCTTGATGTAGAAGTTTTCTTGACCGTATCCAGCTTTCCTGACATTCAAAGAGGATCAAAATGTAAGTACAATGTTGAAAAGTCACTGATGATCAACTTACGTTGACCATTTGTAGCTTTCTTGGCTTCTTGTGTTTGTTTTGCCAACTTCTTCTTGCCTTCTGCAACAGTTTTGTAGGTAGATAGGAGTTGAGGTACAACTGTAGGTCTGGTAGAACCTGTTTCTACGTAGGAAAATACAAATATTCATTGATAAAAAGAAACATACACAAGATCAAAAGAGAATGTTTAGAATCAAGATCACTTGATGTACCTTACTTATCAATCCATCCCTGATCCTTTCAAGTTTGATCAAAAGGAGGCTGTCATGGCAAGCTTGCCAGGCGTTATGCTTTCGAGCTCTAGCAAGGTAGGTGAGCAAACATTCCAAACCGTACTTTCCACCCTTCAAGTTGAGCTTTAGGGCTTCCAAAGATTGATCAACACCATAGTAACTATCCATAGCCTGATTCACTTCCCCCCGGATTCCTAATTCTGAACCTTGAGAAACAACTGGTTGACAGCTAAATTGGCCAAAGATTGGACCATCACGCTTGGCTAGATCTAGAGGAGATGTCTGGCTAAGAGTAAGGATCTCAGCAATAGTTTTATCAACTGATGAAAGGGTCATGATTAAAAGTGAATGATACAAGATTTGGAGTGTGGTGGTGGTACAGAATGTGAGTTGAGGTACTATTGAAAGAGAAGGCACAAAAATGTAACCTTTGAGCCCTACCAAGGGGTACGTATTGGCAATGGTGCACACATCACACAATTATGAAGGAATTGACATGTTTGACAATTACCTATGTGGAAGGAACACGTCAAATAGGAGCATATGAGCCCAGAATGCTTGATTTAATGCTTCTATTCCCATGCCTACCCATCATTTTTAGAAGCATATTCTCCAAAAGTTTATGCTTTAAGCTTATATGCTTGTATTTGCAAAATTACCGCCAACCAAATATGGTTGGATAGGATTTGATGCTTATAGAAAATTATGCTTGTGTAGTTTATGCTTACAAAGGAATTTCATTGTACAGCTAAAAGGCTGTATATCAGAATTGAAGAATATATCGTGATGAGGAGTATATCGTTTTGGACAAATGAAGCTCCCACACACCCCGGCTTTTTGGAACATTCAATATACATATATTGTGTTATACTGTATATTAGGGGGGCTCAAGTCAAAATATTTTACTACTTTTATCGTAACATTTTTTCCCAATTGCATAAAATTTACGCAAAATTTTATGCAATTGGGAAAAGTTATACAGCATCCCAATTTTTTTTGAGAGATTTACACAAATTTGCGTAGATCTGCTGCTCAGAAGGAGATCCGAAAGAAATTTCTACGGTCCTTTTTTACGAATCGACGTTGGCACGGGGTGTTAACAAAGTGGAATATGAGAAATGGGAAATGTCACACTGGCGTAAGGTCACAAGCGTGAGCTCGTCTCAAAAGAGGTGCAAGATAAGTCGTTGACAGAACCCCAATGGAGTCTGTTTGAACTTCATCCAGCCTCAACCACCTTCCCACTTGTCCAGGTTGAGGAAAACCTTTTGTTCCCTTTCCTCCTTCATCAGATCTGTATACAAAAAATTTAGAATCACTAGTTCAAACAACTTCTCTCTACATGTTTTCAATACATACATATTGTTTTTTCATCTTCAATTCTATCAGCAGTTCAGTCGCGTATTATTTTTTGTTTCCCGCCCACCACCCATCTTGTCAAACAATGGGTTCAAGTCTTACGTGGGGCACTCTATTCCTTCTCTTTTTTATCTATAAGTTGTTCTATTTTCCAATTCTCGCAGATATCATTTTCACAGGGAGCGGGGGCATCACAGTGAGATGCTCAGTGCCAAGATTGGCCACCCACAGTGCTCCCTCCTCCCTTCATCAGCCCCGGGCCAAAACATTTGCAATCTCAGGCCCCCGGGCCTGATCTTCGAGTAACACACGTGACCATCAGCCAAAATGAACCAGAACAGATTCCTTGGGAAAAGATTTTACAACACGGTACCGTAAAAAACTTTCCCCAATTTTTTAAGAAAATGCCGCAAAAATTTTGACTTGAGCCCCCTTATTGGTTTGGTGTAGTATTTCACGATATACGTATATCGGATCGTACCGAACGGGCCCCTAGCTTTTTATGAAAGTGCTTTGTATATATACCTTTTTTCTCTTGTTTCTTTAGGATTACATATACAGCTATCTTGTCAGAGCACTCTCGTCACCTCGTGTATAGAAATATAAAGCGCTTGAGTGCAATGAAAATAAATAAAAAGAAACATTTGACAATTCTATCCAAGAAGTGAAAGTAGATCTCGATGAAAACATTCGAAATTGGAAACGAGCAGAAAAAGACCTTACTTCACCTGTGGATGGATTTTACATACAAAACGGAGTAACGATCAAGACCACGAAGGGTCTTGGATGGGATGAATCAGGAAGCAATTAATCGATCAAAGATCAACAGAGTCCATTTAAAGACTCATCGTCTGTGTCTCCATGAGAAAAGGATAGACACAGGCGGCTCATGGTACACGGACTGTATCATGGGCCCCAACCTCACCAAGGTTGTCCATATGACACGGGTAGTCGAGACACCAACCTTCACCATTGCAGAGGAAGTACGGATCGTTTATATACGACTTGAGCGCGTGTCGGAGTAGCATATTAGGGCTTTAGTGTATTCGTGTTTCCCGATTTGTGCTATCTTTTTTTGCGATTTCGACTTCATCATCACCGGCAACCGCTCTTAGGAATTCGCACATGTCGTCAGGCTCACCATTTCCGCCGTCATTACTTAGTAGCCTCAAGTGGTGGGAAAATCCATTCAGGGAAGCACGAAACTATGCAGTAAGTAGAGCTCCCTCTCAAGGCGTAGAAGCACATCTCTTTCGTTGATATCGAACTCAACTTTCGCGCGGTGATCAAGAACTCTATGCTAAAGCCCGAATTCCCCTATTGGGCCTTATCACTCTTGGCCCTTTTCATCATCATGAGAGTCGCATTCATATTTGTCTGTGCCGGCATCATGATCATACCCGTCTTTAAGGGGTCTGATAGTCGAAAGAGGCATTACTACTTGGTTCGAAGGGTATACCCAGAAGGCGGTGAGTATTAACCAATGACTTTCTTGTGTGCCGAAGCTGTGGGATCCTGGAGCGATTTACTGAACATTTCTCTCACTTGATCCGGGTGCGTTGCCATTACCAGGGAATGGCATGCCTTACCTAGTGCCCAATCGTTGTATGATAATCGTTGTTTGCGAGCTTGTGACAAGTGTGTTGTATGTGGTTCTGGGTTGCTTGAATTACTCGGTGAGTAAGCATCACCAGTGGAATGGCAAGTGGACGTATGTGAATTTGTGGTTCATGACGAGAAACATTTACCGCGTGTATAGTTTTACTCGAATGTCAGCAGCCATCAAGATCCAAGACCGGTCACAATGGTTTGGTATGTTGTTCGTGAATCACGATCCTGAAAAACGGGCATCACAACTTCATATTAACGGACATGGTTTTACTCTACAGGTTTGTAATCGCGTATGTCTCATCTCTCTCGGGGTTGGGTAGCCACGCCAAGGTTTCATAGAGTGCTCATGAACAAGTGTTACGTACAATTCCACCCCAACGACAAACAACACATTCCGCCGATCGCATATTTTTAGATGGCTTCCGTAAGCATACATCCAAGTAGATTCAGAGATCATAATACTTTCTGATTCATGAAGAAAAACAGTTCTTATGTAGGTATGGTCATGGCCACATTTGGGCTTTGCTACGCCTGGTGAGGTTTCGCCTGCTTTACCTCTCTTCGCCGCAAGTCCCCGTTTCTGAAACCTTTTCCCCGCATCTCACCTTACGGTCATATAGTCTTTGTGATGTGGATGGCACCAAGAACAAAAAGTATTCTCGGATTTTGACACCGATTGTCTACAACTCCATCTGGATTTCGTGGTCACTCCTGGCAATTGGTATGATATCATATTGGGCAGTCCGCTCTGTGCAAGATGCAAACGAGCTGCAGATGAATCTACAGCACACTTTTCCCTTACTAAAAAAGGCATCCGTTTCTTGGGATGCTCATCACGACTTTGGAAAAGTACCCATCAAAGCCTTGCTGAACTATATGGTAGTCTTGTTCAGGAATTGGAGCCACATGGATTTGACACTCGTTGGGTGGGCAACAGCTTGGGCTGCTTTGGCAGGTGCCCTGGCTTTGGTAAATCTTCTACATCATCTCCACACACGGCTTGACCGTTCGTGATAAGATACGCAATCGTTGTCTGAACTCCAATACGGATAACTTCTGACATTGACATGGGAGCCAACAGTTTTACATTCTTGTAGTATGTGTATTGCTCCGTATGCTCAATCAAGTATTGAGCATGCGTGACATGGATACAATCACTGGGGATGTACAATGGACATCCACAATATTACACGAATTAGAAGCAGAGTTTCGTGAGTCTGCGGAACGGATACCAATCCATTACAGGGTAACTAACGAACGTACAATTCCCCTTGATCAGAGTTCTTGTTTAGATGTTCCTTTGTCATAGTCATGAGCATATGCGCTCAAACTATCGAGGCCATCGGCCAGCTTCTTATCAGTCGGCATCAAGATTCGTGCGCATCAAGATTTTCTATATAAGCACATGCGATGACCTGATGTGTTGCGTCCCATTCATATTCACTTGGACTCAATAGGTTGTATTGCAGAATCACATCCACGATCATCTGTCAGATCCCTGGAGTTTTCATGGTTCCGGCGCTTCTTCTTCAATCGGTAATGTCATGTCCTCTCCTAACCAATGATGATCGTAGTTCAAGGAATTTATACTGACACCCCTTTTGTTTGTTTGGACTTGGTATGTACTATTTCGACAGTGGCGTATGTTCACTGAGCGCTCTCCAAATGAATCCGAGTTTTGCAGGGTCCCACTGAAGTCTGTCACCAAGGGCGTTCCTAAATTGACTTCACAGCTTTTGGGCTGGGATACTACTGTGTGTTGGGAAGGTGACAAAGATGTTGAAGAAGTGAACTTCCCAGGCCTCCGCCCAGGTAATTTTGTCGAATCTACCTCTGGCTGCAAGGGCTCATCGGCCGAGGATATATCCGTTGACTATATTCATGTCACCCGTTCAACCATAATCACTAAGGACGCTATCTAAGTATCGTACGAGCTCTAGCGTTATTGTTCTCCTTGTTTGTCAATTCTTATACTTTAGTTTCAGTTATATGATTTGTGTTGGTATGGTTCTCTCAAGGATATAAGGAAATTCGGTATGATAGCACCCGACTATGAGGCAAGTGCAGTTTTCCTCGGAGTCTTGAGGAGAAGACTTTGTGTAGGAGCCTGCGTACAAGTGGAGTTGTTGGAGCGGGAAGCGGGATACAAGCCGTGTGTCGCTTACAGTTCTCACCCATTCAAGCATTTTCTCGCTTCAAAGTCCTGCATGAGTTTTTGTGGTGTTGCAAGAAGAGAAGCGGCTGTGTCGACCTCAATTGATGGAGGTGGTCTTGGCTGATGAGCGTAGCAACGAGCAGCCGAGAGAGGGAACCTTATCCATGAAACTTGGTGTGTGAGCTGGAAAAGCTTGGCTGGGGACTTTTTCAACACTCCATATCTGTGTACTCTACAAACAAGTATTCTTTGGAACAAAGAAATGACTTGTGCGCCTGCTCAACCTAGACATGCTGGTATTTTTAAGATTCTGTCTTGGCTCCAGAAAAGCACTGAAAAACAAACTTGAAAAATTGATTCATGTGTAATATTCCAGCTCGCCTGGTGTGAGCTTTTGACAGGTTGGTTGGCTTTTCCCAGATTTTGTTGTTTTTGCAAACTTTGCAATCACTGTCAGCCCCAAGCTTCATCAAGTCCCTCCTCACCAAAGGCCCAAGGCTGAAGCAAGGTGAGTACATATATAGCGCTGCCAACCTAGATGCCTTGGGTTGCGGAATCCAGGGCATCATCGGAGGTAAAACCTCGGACAAGGTCTGTCCGAGGTTTTTGTCTGAGGTAATCTTCTGCGCTGGGAGTTGCCTCGGATCAAAACCTTGGACAGCTTCTGTCGGAGGTTGATAATCCAATAATACCTCGGATTTTCCAATCTGAGGTAAATATGTTGGCGGTGTAGCTGTTTCAATAAAGGTTGACAACTTTGTTTGGAGAAAGTTGTCTCTGCAGCGGGTAAACCCAGAGACAAAACTTGATGACGGGTTTATTCTTTTATGTATTCTTCCAATCAGCAGAGAGACAAAATCAAGTGAGGGACAAAAACCAGGTTTCGCACATTGGCAAGATTTTCAAAAAAAAACAATCTTTGTTGAGACAGCTGGATATGTACCCAAGGACCAACTTGAAATATAGAACCAGCACCCAAAAACCTAACTACATGTTCATACAGCGTAGAAATCATATGTAACATGTAAAAAACATATACAAACCCTAATTACATATACATGTTACCTGTGTCCTGGACCTGGCCCCACCTGGCCAGCTGTGCCTGCTGCTTTTCTGAAGGCAGACAGTACATGCCATGACACACCAAAGCCTACCTAAAACTAGTTGTAAAAGCCCTGCAGGCACCCCAGTGGTGTGATCTGACCAGTTTCCCGTCATTTCATTGAACAAAAAAATGCCATCTGCCTGGCTCTTTTCAAGCTCTTAGAGCATCCACAATCGTTGGGTTAAGTCGCAGGAATAGCTAACTATTTACCTCACCGATTTTGAAATTTCCACAATGGTCAAATTTCAACTGATCGTTAGTTAGATTTTTGACAAAAAATCGGTAGGCTGGGACAAAGTTATCCCAGCCTACCGACGCGGTAGCTAACTCCGTCACTCAAAAACACAACACCAGACAACACCACTCATCCACGCATCATCCACACCCTTCTACACCTCACACCAACAACCTGTGATCTGCTACGACTGCTCACTCAACACTCTATTGCACCTTATTCTTCATCATCAAGTACCATCAACCCTACACAACTTTAACAATGTACCATGATAGCAACTTGAAGTTTTACTAATGCCTCGCCAACAACTCCCACCTTCCCCTCCATTTTGTTTTTTGTTTTGCATTGATTTCAATAGATTAGTTGCGTATCATTTTAGACAATGATGAAGTTGTTCACAGAAAAGAAAATACATGCTTATGATTGGATTTGATTGAGTGATAAATTAAAAGAGGTAAAATTGATCAAAAGTGAAAGATTGAGATCACATTGATGAATGATACCCACACACAGGAGCAATTGTAAAGAATGAATATGTGATAAAAAGTGATAAAGAAGGGCCTCTTATTAAAGTAAAACAATTGAAAGTGATACAAAAAGGGCCTTTGACGAAAAGAAAAGGACTGAAAGTGATAAAGAAGGGTCTCTGGTGAAAACTAAACGATTGATTCTGTGTGGTTTCAAAGATTGTTGACCTTACAAGCGATTAAAAAGGAGAAATCGGGTTGTTGCTTGGAAAAAAGGACAGCTTAGCTCCAAGCTACAGCGGACAACTGTAGGCTCAGTCTTTAACTTGAAGTTTAGAGATCTTTAACTTCAAGTTAAAGACAACCACTGTGGGATTTTGCTTTAGATTACTTAACTCCAGCTAAAGATCTTTAACCTAAAGTTAACTAACTCCAAATGTAACGCAAACAATTGCGGATGCTCTCAGTAGCTCACGTAAGTGTTATATACATTTTCATACATGTAAATGTGCAATAAGCACCAGAAATTTCTGCCTATGGTCCTTTTTAGCTCTTATAATCAATTCAGGGTGAGCTCAGGTAATTGGCCATGATTGATTTCTGGGACCACTTGGGTCTGCCCAAGGACGGTCAACGCCGTGGGCTTCCCTGTCACAACTGAGGCCAGGTCACAGCCCTGACGTACACTCAAAACTACATGTAAATCATGGATTAAACCCCCTAAGGCCTAACCCCCAATACTGAATATCCGCACAGCCAACGGTCAGCACCCCAGCCCCAATTGCTCCACACTACCGCTCACATCATTCAAATCATCAAACACACACCTACAGTCCCTCCAAACAATCATCATTAGTTTTCAACCTGCACAAAAAACAATCTATCTTGATTATAACTTTGGTCATCTTTCCTCTTCACCTTCCAGCTATTTGCTTCGGATTCACCGGTAGGCTTGGTTTGACGTTGGTATTTACTGATTTTTGTCATGGCCATGGATCTTCACAAGCTAAATTTTGTACCGTGCATCTCACCTGCAAAATCTGCCCTTTTATCTGACTTAAAGGCAATTGTATAAACCAACCCCTTCCTTCAGGTCCATCAACTCGATTCTCATGCAAAGTCTCCATGGCCTGTTTACCAACATTGTTTTTTCATGCGTGGGATCCCTTCCTGTGCCCAAACTCCATCATTATTGCTGAAGATCTTTTATTCTCTTTCATATAACCAGATCGACATGACCCCCACATGCACAGGGGCCAAAATAGATACTCACATACATGTGAGCGTTGTAGACTTTTTGGAATTCTCCAAAAAAGATTCATTTTCTTTCAGATTGATTCAATTCACAATCTTGTTTGTGTTCAGGTGATCATCCTGTGGTTCTCATATTTTACTTGACATTTATTGAGAAGGCTCATTTCCATCTTGGATGAGCAATAACTGATTCCCGATGAGTACTCAGGATCAGCTCATGAGGCACTGAATACTCAGCAATTTGTTCAAAATGAAGATGAGCACATGAACTATACCTTCCTGAGGCTTCATTTTTCAGTGAAGAAGCCTGCCCAGGGGCATCCCATTTGAGCTGCTCAGCAAATACTCAGTAGCATCCCCTGACTGGATCACTGATGCGCCGGACTTTTCTCAGACTTCCTTGCTAAGGAATGAAGCCTGATAAAAGTGTCATCCCATCTGCTCATTGCTCAGCTAATCCTCAGTGATATCCCCGGATAAAGTTTTTCACACTGAGGGGCTGAGATCAACTGAGCAGCCCCTCAGCCAATACTCAGTGACATCCTTTGGATCCTTCTGATCCGGCCAGGAATGCCCCTGAGGACTAGCTGAGCAGGCCCTCATCCAATGAGCAGTGAAATCCTCCGGATCCTCCTGATCTCAGGGATGCCCCTGAGGAATAACTGAGCAGCCCCTCATCCAATGAGCAGTGAAATCCTCCGGATCCTCCTGATCTCAGGGATGCCCCTGAGGAATAACTGAGCAGCCCCTCATCCAATGAGCAGTGAAATCCTCTGGATCCTCCTGATCTCAGGGATGCCCCTGAGGAATAACTGAGCAGCTCAGTTGAACGAGCAGACGGGCCTCAGGCTTCATTCCGGAGCCATGAAGCTTGAGGCAAGCTTGGCGCTCTGTGATCCATCTGGGGGATACTTCAGAGACTTAGCTAAGGCAATACTCAGTTCAGCTCAGCCCCTAAGCTATACATTGGTGGCATCCCTTGGAGCTTACTGAACCAGGGAATGCCACTCAGGATCAGCTGAGCAGATGGATCAGCGCTTCCTCAGACTTCTTTGCTCAGGAATAAATGCTGAGGAAGGCTTAGTTTGTCTGCTCAGTTCCTGATGATCACGTAATCAGCTGACAAACAGAAAGAAAAGGGAAACAAATGGGAAACAAATGGGAAACAAATGGGAAACAAATTGGAAACAAATGGGAACAAAACAGGAAAATTTCAACGCTCACATAGTTGTGAGCATCAATTTTTGCCCCTGTGATGGTTCCTTCCGCCAACTTTGATCTACCCAAAATCAAGCTTGGCCTCTCCTATCAATGTACACAAAAGCCAACCTTCGCAAAATGTCTTCAAAAGTCTCTACTTTTTGATCAATTACCTACAATCCCTACCTCAATAATACTGGAACCACTCTGCACCACTCCAGATTTTGACTGGTTTTGGGTGCGGAGCGGACCAACTGCGCTCGAGAGGTACGCACCGGCTCCTCCTTTTTTCAAAAAAACATGAGCACAGGTGGAGCAGAGCGGTCATTTGAGCAGTGGTTCAGTGAGCAAAAGACATACAATTGGAATTTATTTCATTGGGAGGTAATTGAGTAAACTGAGTAAATATAACTATATGAACTAGCATAGATTATATAGCCATATAGACTAATGGGAAACTACCTGTCTTTGGGATTGTAAAGTGAAATAATTTGATAAGAACTAGCCATTATTTTTATTTTCTTCCTTTTTATTTTTCAGTCCTGCTATATAGCAATCAAGGGCCTTTGAAGCCTCCTCAAAAATTCCATCCGGGATGATTCCTTCTTTCATCCACGCTTGAGAACCCACCAAGCGCTCCATTGTCTTTGGGAGCATACTGCCTCTTGAAGGTGTACACACATTGGCAGCCACTGAAAATGTCCGCTTGCATGCACATGATGTGGCTGAGACGGCTAGATAATCGTGGGCAAGCTTAGCAACCGTTGGGAAATGATGTGCGTGTTCCTGATAAAAACAGAAAGAAAAAGAAGGAATGATTGTTAAATTTATATCAAAGTTACACATAAGAAAACTGGGACAAACCTTCCACCAACCAAGTGGTGTCTGTTGCTTACTGATTGGGAAGCGTCCCGACAAGTATTCTTCCAGCTCAGACTTCTGTGAAGTCTGAGTACCTCCGTTCGCGACTCCAAAGATATCGAATTCATCCACCTTGGCATTTTCATCGTTGTTGTCAGGTGGAGGGGTTCCGTTTTGTACCTGAGAGGCTTCTAACTCAGTGATGTAAGCA